TCAAAACTCAGGTTCCACATATCCTACAATTGCTCATTTCTAGACATGGATTTTACTGGTTAGATATTTGTGAACTCTGAACATTTTCTATAATTTCCCCAGGTGACATTCAGAGGCAGATCTTTGTCTTTTTACTTACTGAACATGGAGGGTGATGAAAACACACCACAAAGGTGTCTTGAGGAAAACCGCACAGGCAGTTCTTCTAAAGAGCTGATAACTACTGGTATGTTCATGTCTGCTGACAAGTGTAGCCCCTACATCAGATCCAACACTTCCTGCCTCATGTTTACAGTCAGGTCCCTGCAGCAGGTGGAGAACTAGTTCATGTGGCAATGCTGCAATCCAAAAAAACACTGCCATCGGCAGCTGCGGTCCAAGACAAAGGAGTTCACTTGCAGAATGACAGACTTATTGGAGAGACTGCTGCCTATTTCTTCTTTATTTGTTTGCCAAAAGGTATTCAGTAAATAAAGGATTTACAGAGGAGCACTTTGTAAACTGTTCACCACTTTGGAAAATCCTTGAAAACACTACTATGACATTTCTTTTAAGGCTACTCAAACAAACAAAGAGGGCACAAAGGCAGCTGATAAAGCCTAGGTATCAGTCTGTCACAGCATTATTAAGTTATATTGTAGTTCTTTTATTGTATTGTCTTTAATTACGCAGGAACAGACAACTTGAACCATCACATGAAGATCAAGATCATCCATTTGGTGAACGATGAAGAGCTGCTGCCAAATGCTGTAATGGACATGTACTGGGACAAGCTCATAAAGGAAGACTACTCAGAGTCTCAAGACTGAGCAAGTTAATTATTGTAACTTGCTCTACTCATATTTTGACTGTTCTGCTTAGTTATTTTAGGATCATTTGCATTTGCTGTACTTTTTCCTACACACACACACACACACACACACACACACACACACACACACACACACACACACACACACACACACACACACACATATATATATATATATATATATATATATATATATATATATATATATATATATTTATATTTATTTATTTATTTATTTATTTTTATTTATTTTTGAGCTTTGCTAAAATAAAACTTGCTGTAACTTCTCCCTCAAACACAGTCCAAAGTGGTTTATTATTTAACGTGAAGAACAAAGACATTTATCTTCTGCCACTATCAGTAAAACAGGGAACACAAGCCACATTTTTCTTTTTAGATGATTTTTTGGCATCTTATCAGAAAGCTAGAGTGCAGGGATTGCAGTAAATATAGAGGATAAAGATAAAGACAACAAAGTCTTGATACCACACCACATCTTATTGACTTGCTGCTTTGGTTCAAACGAAGGTGACATCAGGCGCACTGGAGAGGCAACAACAACAACTGGGTTTTATAGATGGTGGCTACACAGCATTATTCTCTCTTTATCTGTGCTGACTGATTCTTCTCAGCTTTTGTTTTTAGCCCTCAGATGTAAAAAGCTGATGATCTATGGTTGTCTCCTTGCCAAGTGGGCAGTGTGACCTTGACCTCAAGGTCAGACTAAGTTTTCTGGAAATCTTGCAAATGCAAGAATTTGAGAATAAGGTGATGTAGAATTTTGAAATTGCCATACATGCCTACTAGGAGGCTGAGGAGTAGCACTGGGGGTCCCTGTTGCCACTGATAGCATGAGATGGTACCTGTAGCCCATTCAGGTTGCACAGGCAGTCCAGCTTCTACAGGATCCAGACGGTTTGCTGCATCTTTCAGCATAATCTCAAGAGTGTGGAGAAGTTGCCAGGACATGGGCCATTTCATGATGAAGTACTCACTAACCACTGACACTTAAAGAGTTTCCTCTTTAATGTCTTTGTTTTTTCTGTCCAGTTTGGGGTTTCACTAACTCAGAGAACATTAAATGAGCTCAGATTTACCTTTAATCTAATACAATATTCAGGTTGTTACACTTGTACATTTGTGACTCCACAACAGGACAGAATTTGAGATTTTTTTTCTGGCAAATTAACAACTTTGTAATTTCAGGGAATATCTATTTTTTGGGTTTGTTTTTTTTTTTAACGTAGAGATTTTTCTCATTTATTGACCACTTTAATCTCATAGAATATCCAGATGTTCTTTGTCATAAAATCAGAAACTCAGATTGCTTTTCTCTGAACATTAGGAACCATCAGTAGTCATAATACTTTTCAGTTATTATCACCATTAAAGCGTCACTGAAGCCCCTTGAAACTCTAACTTCAGTTCCCAGAGGTCTGATCAACATTAATGGGAAAGGAAAAGCATCTGGAGTCATCTCAAAGTTTAAAAACAAAGTCTAGCTAATTGTCATTGTGTTCCTCTGAAAATTACCATCATTTCCAGCTGTGTTTCATTTTTTATTTATTTTTTTAAATGAGCATCAGTATTGGAGCATCATTGAAGCCCCTGAAAAATGCTCTCAGCTCACAGAAAGCAAGCTAATTTTCATTTTCATTCATGACAGCAACAACACTGGGGTAAAAAGTGTTTGAAGTCAGGTCTGTATGATTTAAAAAGATTGGACGGACTATTTGTGATATTATAATCTCAGGGAATGTACTTTTTCTTACATTTTAAGAAATATTTTTCTTACATTTATCACTTAAATTTCAAGAATATCACAAGCTTTTTTCTGTAAATGTACAGCTATATTGTTGGATGGTATGATTTTTTTATCCTCTGACTATAACATGCTTCCTTTTAACCACTGAGGAGTCTTGGTTAAAAACACTGGCACCAGTCATTCTTATGTAGGACCCAAACACAGCACCTAAAGATGGTTCAACCACCAGCAGGTGGCACCATACACTGCACAGACAACCAGACAACAATAAGTGTGTCAGAGAGGAAAGATTCCCCCCTGCAGAAACAGGATGTGTCCAGACATGGGGGTTTATACAGTCATGTGATCCCACTCTGCTCCTCCTTATCTCTTATGTAATCGCCATCTCAGCCGTGGGTTGCCCCCACCCACCCCTCACAACTGCTGACCTGAATATGGTAATTGTGACCACTTATCTGTAGAGGTATATGTTTTCTTCCTCTAGAAACTGATGTGCGGAGGACATAGATGTCTTGAGGAGTACAGTAATGAAAGTCTGTAGGTCTGTGTGATGGATTGTTAAGCCTGCACACGGCAGCTGTCACACCACTTCCTTGTTGGCAGTGTGTGGTGAAAAATTTGTGTTATTTTCCATTGCTGATGGTCATTAAAATGTAAGGGAGTGTTGTTAAGAGATCAATTTACTGAGGAAGTAGCATGCCTTTAAAATGGCCAAAAATGCTTTGTAGGCAGAAGAAAGACACAGATGAAGATAAATCAGGCTTTTTAATAATGAGCAAGTTAATAAAGCTGGATCAGGATAACACACTAATTCAGTTCAGCTTGAGGTTTGTTTATTTCTCCATGCACTACATTCTTTCCAGGCTGTTTAGTGCTCCCCTTCCTCAACCAAACTGCTTAGTGTGTCACTCAGGCCGCCCAGTAACAGATGAGTATTGGCTGGGTGCTTCTTATGGAAGCCTGTTGCTACCAAGAAAAGCAAATAAGCAGATATGAAGGCAGGCAGGCAGAAAACAAAAATTATAAATAATAATCATTGTAACAGTTTCTTACCTTTAACAAAGTTATTTTAAAAATTATCAAAATTCATATTTAGTAAATTAAATTTTTGAGGTGATTGTCAAAAACAGCTTAGCTGGATGCTAAACTGTGACAACCAGTATCACATCACCAAAATGTTTTTATTGATTAATTTATTCATTCATTCATTAGGTGAAAAATTAACTAATTCGGCTTCATTCTTGATACATATAGGTAGGGCAGGGACAAGGGCAGTTAAAAACATTGGCACCGGTGGTTAGAATAAACACCATGGTGGTAACAGGGTCACTCTACGCCACTCTATACTTCTGTTTTAAGTATGATTAATTTGGAAATGAACAAAAAAAATAAAGGAAAATATGAGATAGAAGCCATTGTTATTCAGATTTTTTATGATGATGATGATAATGTGAGTTTGTGACAGCCCTATTAATTTCATAATTTTTAATTGTTTAAATTTGTTAGTGTTGTAAATATAAAATATAGTTCTAGATTGTTTCCCCCTTTTATATAAGCTACAATTTTACACATCAGTGAACTCCTTTTTAAAACACATTGTTTATTATGACTTTTATGTAATTCCATTTCATTTGAGAGGTTTTTACCTGCTGGTAAATTGTCTTGTTTCTAGGAACAAAAGCACAAAGGATAATCAACGGGCTTACCATAATTAAATTTTTCATTTTTATTATTTTTGGGGGTGATGGTTTAAATATATAATTTGTTTTCTTTTTAATTTTTTAAAATTTTACTTAACTAATCTTTTCTCCTTTTATAAAATGTTGTTTTAGTTAACTAATGACATTGCTTCATGTACCTGAATTCTCTACACTGAGAAATGAATGACTGAAGTTACGTGTGCCATGATGCTCAGGCTGAGTGGGTGGGAAGGCTGAGATGGTTTGGACATATGCAGAGGAGGGATAGTGGATAAACTGGACAAAGAATGTTGAATACATGGGTGGAAAGGAGGAAGACCACAGAGGAGGTCAGTGGATGTAGTGAAGAAGGACACGCAGAGGGTTGGTGTGATAGAGGACAATGCTAGGGATAGGGTGAGATGGAAACTGAGGTGGTGACCCTTAAAGGGAGCATCTGAAATAAGATACTTTCATAAGTTATTTTTTATTTACTAAGTAAGAAAATTTTTTTCATGAAAAATAAAATTATATTTTATATATGATAATTTTAATGATTAAAAATACTTGAATTTTGGTCAACTGATAGATGGATTCTTTTTTTTATTAGTTCGATGCCCTCATTCATTAATCTTTCTTTCTTGTTGGCATCAGTGGGCTTCCATACATTCTCCACTTACACCAATCATAACAATGAAAGGGGGCGGGGCCACATTGGGTTAGGTTGTCACTCTCATTGGGTAAATAACAAACCACCCACTTATTTTGAAGCCTGCCGTTTAGGAGTCACGAGAAGTTTAACGGTTAGAGAAGCTCAAGGAAAATGACACAAATGAACCGGATGAAAACGGCTTCACTGGAGTGGTTCTGACAAGCAGACGACGCCCGCTTGTATCACAGGTGCCGTCCCGTACTTTGTTAGCCCACCTGCACTCGGGGCGGCTCGAGGAACCGCTGTGGTTGCTAGCGAAGCTCGTTAGCCGCTAACCACCGAAGCTAGCGAGCTAACTAGACGAATCGCCCGACCAAGTGGCGGGCGTGAAGCTAACCACGTCAAGGCTGGTTTTGGAGGGCTGGTTGGCTGAATTTATTCCGTTGAGGAGTTTATTTCCGCCCTTCTTCTACAGTGCTGCTCTTCTTCCCCGTTTCATTGTGTCGGAGCGTCCTGACTGCATGCACGCATGCTAGCAACTGCCACAACTGGCTAGCGTAAGCTAAAGTGGCAGTTTTTGTTTTTGTTTTTGACGCTGTCGCCGGTACGAGATTTCGGAACGCGGTTGTGTCACCATGACGCGTGGTTATTAAGTGGACTTTTTAAATGTCGTGCAGCCCCTCTAGGAGAACCAGACGCGGAGCATGCAGGAGAAGAAGAGAGTCCAGATAAGTAGATAGGGGACGCGACCGAGTTAAACTGGACTGCGGAGTCGATTCGCCTCTGATTAGGGATTGCATTTTGGTTGGCCCTGACAGAGAAAGGAAAGGATGAAGAAGTTTTCGAGAATGCCAAAGTCTGAGAGCGGTGGGCTCGGAGGGGCATCCGGGTCCAGCTCCAGCTCCGGAGTCAGCAGCTACTTCGGGAAAGTGTTTTCAGTCGGCCGGTACCAAGTCACCGTGGAGGAGCTTGTTGCAGAGGGTATGTATCGCACATGCAGCTTAATGATGGTAACGGGTTTATTTTATGGCTCGTGTTTGTTCTACTGAACATCTCCTTGTGATAGAAGTAGGTCGCTCTCCTCTTCCAGGCAGTTGCCACTTAAACTGGGACACCGGGGATTTGGTGCATGGCTAGAATTAAAGCTTTCCCCATACAGCTGTGGTTTACATCTTGCTTCAGCTGATCCAAGACTAGGGGAGTGGAGAGGAGAAGGTGTGGGTTGCCCTCGGGGTCCAACCCTCCTGTGTCAACATAAAGCAGTGTAAAAGTCACTTTTGCCTTATCGAGAGTCTTTAGCAAGGGTTAAAACAGTTTTGCCCTCTTTAAAGCATTTGTGTAGTGCTTGTTTACAGCAGCAGTCCTGTCATTGGGTACAATGCAGGAGAAGATTTCTCTCTAATACGAGAGGGTACTCCCGTATTAGAGAGAAAGCCACACCAATCAGATGACCCCCTGTGAGCAAGCACTTGGTTATGGTGGGAAGGACAAACTTCTTTTTCTTTTTTTTTTTTTAACAGGAAGACTTCTCCAACAGAAATGGGCTTAGGGTGGGGCTCCCATCAGGCCTAGCCTGATTTATTTAGTTATTTATTTTTGGTGGGGAGACTAAGGGGAAAAAAGCAAGCTATAAAATATTAAAATAAATGTACAAAAGCATTAAACATAGAAATCAAGAAATGGTGTTAAGCACATATGCATAGTCAGCTAAGAATGACCTACTCCAGGTTAGGACAGGAGGTACACATTATTAATACACACTACAGTAATAATTAGGAATGAACTAGTTTTGAAAGACTGATTTCCTGCTGTAGCTTGTTTTGAGATATTACATCTAAATGTGTGACACATAACTTTGAAATTAAAATCTTGAGAATAAAAACATTTTATCTAGTTTCATTTATCTATGCTTAGTGTGTGGTCACTTGTCCAAAAGCACCTGTTAAGCTGAGGAATCCCTGAACTCTCTGGCTGTGTGGGGAAATTTAAATCAAAGTAGAAGTCTTTCAGTCTCAAGATGTAAAAACCTACAAATGTGAACTTTTTTGTTTTTCCTTTTTTTGTCATTTAAATTGAGCTGTGAACTGTGTTGAAAACTTGGTACTGACTTTATTTGGCCCCTGGTTTTGCCTGCTCTCTACCACTTTTGAAGATGTGCTTTGCAAGACTTCTTGGAAAGATTTAAAAATTCCTTCCTGATTTAACAACGCTTTGTGTTCAAAAATGTGTTCACAAATGTTGAAACCACCTCCAAGCACATTCAGCCAGCCGGGCAGAGACAAGAGGAAGTGTGGAAATAAACAGCTTTTGAGCAAGAGTTACTGGTTCACAAATTGTCCAGTGCTTATCAAAGCATATTGATTGAAAACATAATTAGAAACTTTAAAGGTAATTCAGCCAATTAGACAGCTAATTAGTCCTTAGAGTGGTTTTGTCAAACATGCAGCCCAAAAGCCACAACCTTCAAAACAATGGTGTCAAAACTGCCCCACTGGATGAGTTTGCAAAGAAGTCACTTATTTCGGCAGTTCCTTTTCTTTCAAATTCATGGTGTGGTAATGCCAGCTTCCCTACAAATACCTACAAAGTTTAAAGTATTCCTAAATATTGACCAGATATTTACCAGCCTTGATTTAAGAGTAAAGATTTTACACACATCAGATATTGTTTTGATGTCAATCAGAAATATGCTAACATTTGGTTTTAGATTTTACTTCGGAAAGGTGGATATCTTTGCCCATTACGACGCACACCACTCGAGACGTTTTTGTGAATACTTTTGATGTGAAATGTAAAATCAATCTGGGAGGGGAAGAGAATTCCTCTTGTGTAGGAAGCAGTTGTTTTTCTCCTTTTTGTTAGAGGATAATGTGACTCTAATGAGATATTTCTGGGAAAGTGTTCTAAGAGATCATTCTCAAAATAATACATATAAATATATTTATGAGTAGCCTTTTTTTCTTTTTCTAGTTCCCCCTCACTGCTGACTTCTTATCTGATCACACTCAACAGCATGTTTGACACTATTTTACTCGATTGCTCAGATTTTCTCCCTGCTGTTTGAGGACTAATTTAGTCAGAGGGTGAGCCCTAAAACTAAGCTTAATCTGGGACAATTTTAAAGGAAGTTTAACCTCTCTGGTCCCACCTAAAATTAACCAGAAGAGACATTATAATCAAACATATTTCTCATCTCAGCCCATAATCGTTCTGTGTAAGCCTGTGCTAAGTGCCTCAGTGGTGACGAGCATGTCTCTTCATGCAGCTGTAAACACGCTGTAAACTTGATCTCACTCGCCCAAATTAAAAACAAAACAACACAACTCTTCCTGCAAGCAGTCATGAGTCTGTGTCATCATATAATCATGTGCAGAGTCTGTGGCTGGTTTTTCTGCACTGTAACCTTTGCTCATCAGTCTGTCCCAAGCTAAAGAGCTGGGTGTCTGGACTGCATGGTTAATCATATAACAGAATATTTCATTTCACCAACTGTGCCTGGTACATTTGAAAGTAGATGAAATGTTAAAGTGGAAAAAGTGCCGGTGCCCGTGTGAAAGGTCTGTATGAAGGTCTAAAATCTGTTTATGGCTGTGAATAAGTGCTTCATTGCAGCAGTTTTTGTCTCCCTGAAACTTTTACTTCAGCTCGAGTAAAGATGACTTTTTAGTCTAGACCAAACTTGAATTTGCTGCGACTCATCTGGTCTTGTGATGATCTAGAAGAAACGGGAGGTTTTCATAGGTTGGTGGTTTTATTTATTTTTTTTATCTTTGTCTCCGGATTTCTGCTGTCCCTCTTGAACAATGTTTTGGTTGGTTGTGTGCTTTGACTGATTGCTCTCTTACAGTATATTTCTGTGTTAAATTTATTTGTCCCATAACCTAACATGCACCTCCCTGGAAATTTAACAACATGTTGCCATTGACGCTGTTCATACAGGTATAAATACTGGCAATGGTGTCGGCCGCTGGCATAAGCCAAGTCGTAGACTCGACGTAGATTCATTACAGAAGCATAATACAGGGATTACTGTTGTCTGCGTGTTGTCTTATCAGGACAAGCTGTGTTGCACTTTAATCTAAGGCTCCTGGATTAGTGCAACCGCCATAATCATGATTTTGCTTCTTAATAACTATAGTTTAAAAAATTTAGCACAAATGTATAAATTAAAATTTTTTTAAAGCACCTGGGAGAGGGCAGCTTTATAAAATTTAAAAAGACAAACATGAAATGGTAATGTATGTTTGTTTACTATCATTGAATTTCATTAATGTGTCTGTTCTCTGTCCAGTTAAGTAGCTTTCTGATATGCAGTGTCCAGTGTAATACTTTCCCATACTGGCTCAGTAGATCAGAATTAATTTATATACATAATCTAAATTTGCAAAATTACGACTTACAAAGCTTGTTCCCTTTGAGACCCATTTTTCAGGTGTCAGTGAGACAGTTGCTGTCAGCCTTGAGCAAAGTTAATAAGACACTAATTTAAAGATTGATGCAAAAAAAGGCGGTTTTTGTTTCAACGTGTTCTTCATTCTCTAACGTTGTTGCTGTGTAAAACAAAACAGTGGAGGACAGGAGCAGCTGAAAAGATACTTTTTTCTTTGCAAATAATCTTTGTGAAACAGATGATTTGGCAAAGGACTCTGTTTGCTGCTTCGCTGCCTCTTTGAAGCTACCTCACTACCCCTTCTGTTTGTTTTAGAGAGGCTTCGTCATAAATTATGACACCGACCAGACTCGTGTATATATTATCACAATGTTGTCATATATAAAAGCCCTGTATTTGTTACAGTGCTCGTCCCATGCTCTAACCATTCAGCAATATTGGACCTCCAACCACTAACCAATGCTTGCTTAAATGTTTGCTGAGGTTTCAGGGTTTGTGGCCAGAAAAGCTTGATCTGTTTGATCTTTGGTGAAAATGTTGTGTTACCTGCTCAGAGATTACAAGGCAACTTTGCACCAGGGCACATTTAAAAACGAGTATTACAGTTACAGTTGTACGCACTAAGTTGTCTTTTAGCCGAACAGCAACACCGATGCACAGTCAGGATAAACATGAGCAAGCACATTTCAGAATGTGCATTTGTGTTAAAAGTGAAAACAAATTCTGAATCAATTGCTGAGTCTGCATAACACGGGTTTGTATATGTGTAAAGTGAAACTAGTCCTGTAATGACAGCAACACAGTTGGGTTAAAATTACATGTGAGGCAAAGCTGCAGCTTTAACACTGGCTCATATTGAACTTCCTGCTATCGTAATCTGTTCAGATAACCCACATTGCATCAGTTTGTTTCCTGTCTTTTCATGATGCCTCCACACATCTAAAGATAATGAGCCTCAAGTCAGCAGAGACCACGGTTCTTGACTTGACTAAAACTAGATTCCTTTTGAGATTATTTCCTCTCATAGTCCTGGTGGAAATTCACAAGAAGAAAGCTGTTGCATTAGTGTGTAATGTTTGCTCTAAAAGGAAATGAACAAAGTCAAAAACACAAAAGAGGAAAAACTTACGATGTTTGATTTTATTGGAATGTCAACATGAGAAAAAGACTGACTTAAGACAGCACAGGCTAAGTTTTATGATCCTTATCCTACAGTTAATGAGGTTTACGTTTTCAGCAGACACTATAATAATAACTAGACTATACCGTTTATGGAAAAGTTGCAGTTGGATGTTTGTTAAAAATCTGAAGGGAATCTATTATACTTGTATCATAAAAAATGACAAAGGAGGAAAGAACTAAAAAGGAAGGGTTATTAAAAAATAAATCTGTCGCAACTAAAAAACTGAAAATGAGATTTATGAGCATTTAAATTTTTTCTAAAATTGACAAGTGAACTGTTTTTATCTCACGTTGTGATGAATTTATTGTGTCATTAGGTATTTGTCTGCAACACTAAAATCACTGGAAAAGTCTTTAAAAAGACATACTGGAAGTTCAGTATGCTCAGTGTGTAATTCTGGGTCACTCA